TGGAGTAAGAGCTAGTATGTTTATTTCTAGGCCTGTCCAGATGAGAAATCAGTGTGAGCACAGCATTGTGATAAGAGTTCCTGTGAAAATAGTAAGGGAGATAATAAGCTAATTAATTAATTAGTATGGGAAGGGTACAACCAACATTTTTGGGTATAGGCCTGATAGCTTATTTAGCTGACCTTACTTCAGGATGTGGTATAATAGGTAGTGTAGAGATTTTTGAATACTCAGGAGTAGGTTCAATTCCTATAGTTCTAGAAATAAGAGGATTTTAACCTCTATTTGTTTACTCTATCAAAGCAATTATTTTGTTAGACATATTTCCTATGTTTGGGGTGGGATGCTGGAAATTAGGACAGGGATTGAGATCTATGCAGAATGCTAGTGTAAGTTGTAGAAATTTTTTCATAGAAGATATATAAGCTGGTCATAGCAGAATTGGGGGTATGCTGTTCAAACTCATAAAAACAGGGTGGTTAAAAGGGTCTTGGTAATGAAATTTGTGGTGCAGAGTTCTGGTGAACATATAGTGTGTAGTGCTCCTAGGAAAACAGTAGTAGGGCATTTATTATGATAATATTCACATAATTCTGCTATAAAGAACAAGGCAAATGAACCTGTGGCATATTTGATGTTGAAGCCCGAGACGAACTCTGACTCTCCTTCCGTTAGATCAAAAGGGGCTTGGTTAGTTTCTGCTAGTGTGAAAATAAACCATATTATGGCTAGGGGCCATGACGGCAGGAGCAGTCAGAGGAATTCTTGCGTTGTGATGACTGCATATAAGTTAAATGAGCCACTTATCAGTAGAATTGATAACAGGATAACAGTTAGGATAACTTCATATGAAATTGTCTGGGCCTCAGCTCATAATGCACCAGTTAATGCATAATTTGAAGTAGATGCTCATCCTGATCATAGAATAGATGGCTGGGCTTGATGTGACTAGTATTAATAGGAGGCCTATATTTAAATTAATTAGAGGATCTGGTATAGGGATGGGAGTTCACAAGAGGAGAATGATAGAAAGGGCCAGGGCTGGAGCAATAATATAAAGGGTAATAGTAGATGTTGAGGGCTGTTAAGAGTTCTTTGGTGAAAAGTTTTACTGCATCAGGGAATGGCTGAAGCAGTCTGTAGGGACCGACATGTTAGGTCCTTTGCATAGTTGTATATAGCCTAAGATTTTTCATTCAATGAGTGTAAAGAATGCTACAGTGATTAGAGTGGGAATAATAAGTAGGAGAAGGTTAATTATAGGCATATTGTTAAGAAGAGGAGTTGAACCTCTGATTATAAAGTTTTAAGTTTTATGCAATTTCCAGGCTCTGCCATCTAAACAAACCTTGTTCTTGGGTAGAGTGTGTGATGATTTATTAGACTGAGATAGCATCATCTATGGGGCGAGGGCGCTTTGTGAAGTGTGCCCTATTTCTCTTGTCCTTTTATATTAGGAGAAGTGTCAAATAGATAGAAACCGACCTGGATTACTCTGGTCTGAATTCAGATCATGTAGGTCTTTAATCATTGAACAAATGAACCCTTAATAGCAGCTACACTATTAGGATGTCGTGATCCAACATCAAGGTCGTAAACCCTATTGTCAATCTGGACTCTAGAATATGCTTGCGCTCTTATCCCTAGGGTAACTTATTCTGTTGATCAAAGTATTGGGTCGATGTATGTTAACTCACTTAGAATTAGTACGTCTTGGTTTAGGTTGTTTGGAGGTTGAATTATGCTCCAAGGTCACCCCAGCCAAAAGTTTTAATGCAGGGGTAGTAGGCTAGGGCCTGTAGCCTTGAGTTTTTATTTGCATTAATAAATCAATGCTCCATAGGATCTTATTTGTTTATATCCGCCTCTTCATGGATAGGTCAATTTCACTGATTAAAGGTAAGAGGCAGCTAAACCCTCGTGTGGCCATAATACAAGTCCCTATTTGGGAAGAAAGTGATGATGGTACCTTTGCACAGTCAGGATACTGTGGTCGTTGACCATGTTGCTAGGCCAGTAGTGTCTCTTATATTGGTAATGCTAGAGGTGATTTTTTGGTAAACAGGCAGGGTAAGATTTGCCGAGTTCCTTTTACTTTTTGTAATCTTTCCTTAGAGCATACCTGTGTTGGATTAACAGTATGAATAATAGGGTGCTTATTCTATTGCTTATTAATTTTAGGCTGTTAACTGTCAGTAGATTATTCTGGTCTGATGTAAGCTTATACAATGGAGAATGTCTTCATGTTACTTATATTATCATTATTGCTTCTATTAAGCAATAGATTAGTCCAATGTGATGTTAGGAGTTCAGTAGAGTGATTACAATTTAAGATGTTAGATATTGAGCTTGAATGCTTTCTTAATTGGTGGGTGCTTTGGGGCCAACTATGGTGGTAACATTTTTTACTCTATATAGGAAGGTTGTTCCCTAGGGTCTAAAGAGCTGTCCCTTTTTAGACTAACAGTTAAACTTACAGGGAGATTAAGTAATTCTGTGGATAAGTTTAAAGTTGAACTAAGATTTTCTCTTGGACAACCAGCTGTCACCAGGCTTGGTAGGCTTGTCACCTCTACTAATAAATCCTCCCACTATTTTGCCACACAGGTGGGTGTGCTCTTTCAGCTCTTCTTGGGTAGCTCGTCTGCTTTTGCGGGGGTTGCCTATGGTTCTCTGTGTAAAGTTATTTCTAGTTAATACATTATGCAGAAGTTATGAGTTTGTTGTTGCTTTTTAATGCTTGATTCAGCTCTTTCATCTTTCCCTTACGGTACTGTATCTATTGCGCCAGGGTAAACATTTCTATCGCCTATAGTTTTATCTAAGGTAAATGGTTTAATTAAGATGATTTGATAATACTTTTAGTGAGGTTTGGGGCTAGAGTTGGCTTAAAGCCATGTTACAACTTATCTCCTCTGTATGTGTGCAGAGAATTTTTAGTAATAGTAATTTCTAGAGTAATATTTGAGGAGGGTGATGGACAGTGTGTGTGTGCTTCATGGCCTTATTCAACCAAGCACTCTGCTCTTGGTTTACTGATAAATCCTCCTGGAGGTCTTAGGTTTCACAAAGGTCGTCGTGAGATTTTCTGGATATAGAAAATGTAGCCCATTTCTTGCCATCTCACAAGCTACACCTTGACCTAACATTTTTATGTGTATACTTGTGCTTACTCTATAACCTTTTTAGGGTTTGCTGAAGATGGCAGTATACAGGCTGGGGGCAAGAGGCGGTGAGATGTATCAGGGTTTATTACAGAGCAGGCTCCTCTAGAGGAATATAAAGCACCGACAAGTCCTCTGAGCTTTAAACTGTTGCTTGTAGTATTCTGGCAAATGGTTTTGTTAATACAATTATTAGAGTTTAGGGCTAAGCATAGTTGGGTGCCTAATCCCAGTTTGGGTCTTAGCTATTGTGTCTTCAGGATATTAAAGCCACTTTCATAGTATATTTTATTTCAGCTGGAGTTTTTTACAACTTAGATGGAGTTTAGCTTTATGGAGGGTAGACCCTAAACACTCTTTACACTGAGTTCTATTAGCTTGGGTTAATGGCATGGCCGAAGTGGCTGGCACAAAACTGACTAACTCTGAATATCAGTATACCTTAAACTTTTGTTTATCATTAAAGATTTATCACTGCCGTTTCCCATGAGGGCATGGTTGAGCGAGGTGTTTTGAGCTGCATTAGTGCATGCCTGATACCTGCTCCTTTTGATCCGAGTGATTTAGAGGGCATTTTCACTGGGGCCGGGACGCTTGCATGTGTAATCTTACTAATGGCTAACAGAAAGGCCGGGACAAAACCTATCTGTTTATGGTGTTGTGTGGACCCATCTAGACATTTTCAGTGTCTTGCTTTGAATAATTATGCTACATTAACTGCATACTTAAGTGTAAAATTAAAATATGAAAAAGAGAGATGTATAAATAGTCGTTTACATTTCTGGGAATTCAGAGCCTTTAAAGTTGAATTGGCAGACGTTTGGCTAAGAGGGTTACTCATAATTAGAGTATAATTGGTTCAGGGCACAATATATGGAGTAGTGCTTTCAGAGGGATATGCTCAAGGTATTATATTAGTATTAGGGTGGAAATTTAGTTATTATAATTATATAAAATGGAGGCTTGATTTAGTAGGAGGGTCTTAGGATTTTTAGAAAAATGCAGCAATTGAGGGGTAGCTGTTGGAGTAGTCATGATTAAAATATTATTTCTGGGCTCTGACTGGGCTACATTTTAGTCTCTTGTTTGGGGGTTTGGCAAGGGTACATTTGCCTACGTTGATGGTAAAGTCAGAGTTGGGGGAGGGGACTTGCAGATTTAATCGGAAACAGTTCTTGAAAGTGAGCGTACGTGCATGAGCGTACGTATCTATTGATTAATTGTTATGTCCTTCAAGCATGAATTAATTGGCACTTGATGGTTATTATGCTAGCTTGGAATATTCAATATAAACTCAGCTTCTACAATTGATTTGGCAGGAATAAAATCCAAGTTCACCTATAGCGGATTCGGAGGGGACCAGCCTTCCACGATGGTGAGTGATAGCATCCCCCAAATTTGGTAAAAAATACCAAATGCATGACAGTGCTCCTGTGACTGGTTAATAGGGTGGTAGTCACTAGCCCATTGAGATGTCTTATTTAAGGGGAATGTGTGGACGATCTTGTTTTATGGCCCTGAGTAAGAACCAGATGCCAGGTATAGCTTCAGGATAGTCACCCCCAAGTGTTATGGGCCTGGAGCCCATATGATGCCCATATGAATATACCATTTGGGTGAAAAAGTACATGTTCTTCAAATAAATGTAGGTTCTGATTTGCTCTATGAGAATTTCCCAGAACAGATCAATGAGGAACTGAACGAGAAATTGTTCCTACTGATTCAGGTGGGTGCCACTGTGTACTGTATACTCTGCTTAATTTCCAAGACAGGGAGGCTGACGGCAAATACACTCTAGCCAGCCTTAGACTGAGTGGTCTAGAGCAAAGAAGGTGGGAAGCATATGTGTTGAAATGATGGCATCTAACTGCAGGTCTCGTTAACAGATTTAAAATGCAAGCATCTTGACAGAGGTCAGAAGCCAAGATTCTTTTCAAAAGGAGATACGTTCAGACATTCCCCTCTGCTGTTGGAAGTGTAAGCTAACATTGAAACATGGGCAGTAATGAAATTCTCTGGTAAAGAATTATACCTAATTTATGAAACAGCTCCTGTATCAGTGATACAAAAGCAGGCTGGGGAAGAGAACAGAATGGCTTTTGTTTCTTACACAATAGCTGTAACACTAACAGCTGCCGGGCCTCACACATCACCTTTCTAACTGCTAAATACACAAAGTGGCCGCCTCCGGTGTCAAGAGCCAGCAACCAGTACCAGTGATGGTGGGTGTCTCCGGAGAATGACTGGGCATCACAATGATTCACAGTCAACCCAATTTTGTGCCCAGGTTTTAATTATAAACATATCCATTGCCAGGTATGATGAAGTCCTCTGACCTGAAAAAATCATGTTTTCCTTTTATTAGTATAGATGGTTTTTAAGTGCCCTGAAAAAAAAATTCTTCCTAGCCTGGACACCCCTTTCAGTGACAACTGTAAATGAAGACAGCTTCTGCTGCTTTGTGAAGGGTTTGTTCTGCACAGAAGCAGGAAGCTCAGGTTATTTTTTAATGAAGGCAGAATATTTTCTTCCTTTATGTTCCTTCAAGCTGCAAGTTTTCATGGGAAAGAAAAACAGATCGCAAGATCCTGAGTCAAGCCAGCTTTTCCTTTTCTCCCTCTGAACATCTGCCAAAAAATGTCCCATGCATTGGAGAGCCTGTTTGGGGTCTGATTTCCTTCATAGTAAACTAAAAATAAAAGCCCTAGCTCTTGACTCATATTTTATAGACAGAAATTAAATGATCCTCGTAATGGAAAATTATTTCAAAGATTAAATAGGGTGGATTGTAAGCTATTTACCTACCTACCATACCGGGAATAATATGGATGGGAAATCCAATTCTTATCTCCACATCCTTTCAAGGCATTTCTATTTTTCTAATGGCATTAGGTTAGCATTTTTGGCAAAGGGATGATTTTAAGTGTAGATTTCAACAAGTACCCCGGCAAGATAAAACAAACCATACATCATGGTGTATAAGCAAACTTTTAAGGCTAGAAGAAATATTTCTTAAAGTTGATGTCAACTCTCATAATGAGTTTAAAGTACAAAGCATAAATTCCATTGCTTAGGCAGGAAAGGAAGGAATGATAATATATGATACTCTGTTAGGAAATTCTAGAGTTGAGCTTGGGGGCTGGAGGGCGGGGGAAATGCAGAGGATTCGGAGGTCAGATGGGAGGGGACGTGGGCTGAGATGAGAAAATAGGGAATAGAAATGAGCAAATGTTTACATTTTAACCTCTTTATAATTTCCTATGAGCTTCTGAAACGGAACACTGTACATGTGAGTAGCTGAGTCACTAGAGGAGTTTGTGCTTGCTTTTATCCATTTGTTTGGTTGCCTGCCACCCTCCCACTAGACTATTAACTCCTAGAGGTCAGGAACTACGTCTTTGTTTTTTGAGCATTTGCTTTATTTCAGGTGAACAGTCTCTGCCATGCATTTTGGGGCATTTGGTAAGTGGCAAAAGAAAAGATACATCAACTTTGTGTTTCATGGACCCTTTTAAATGGTGTTGACATAATTTCTGTATTCAAAATTATTTTAGTTGGTTCATTTCCATTTGCTTAAATGGCCAAATGAATAATCTTGATGTAATTATTACTACTTAGGATTAAATTTCATCTTTTTAGTAAAAATGATGTTGATGTGCACAGCCAATTGAGTTTATGTCATGATTCACATACATTTGTCAAGAGAACTTAAGTACATAGTTTTGAGTTTTAGGCACATTTGTTAACTGTTTTGTGTGTATAGAGAAAATTAGTCAAATATAATTTCATCTGCTATACATAGACCCGAGTTCCGTTTTTCCGCATGTAGTTTGGTTTCTCTTCTGCACTTAGAATGATTTAGAATGGCTACAGAAGCATTACTGAAACTCAATTTTAATAATGACTCAAAATCAGGAGTTATTAAAACAATAAATAGGCCGATAAACTAGAAAGCAATAAAAAGAAATACAAATGATTTGACATAATAAATACAAGGTTCATACTAAAATGGAGCATGATGATATCTATGGTGAATTTTTTCTTATCATAGCATTTCTTTTGAAGGTTACATTCAACCTCTGGGATCATTAGACTGGGTGTCATTAGCTTGGTGGCAAGGTTTGGGCTTGTTTTCTTAATTTTGCCACTGGTTGAAATTCGGAGCCTCTTTTTCCTAAATATCAGTTTCCTTGGGTGAAAAATGGAAGTAAATTACATGAACCTCTGCTTTCCTCCGCTGGCAAACATGGGAACCATTCTTTAAAAAATGTCTACAAATACTTTGGGCTTTTCAGGCAAAGATGTTACACAAGGTAAAATTGCAGATCCTCTTTCCCATCTGCAATATGAAAGGCAAATCTTTGAAAAACACGTTTGAAAAGGGCAAAACAATGAGCTCAATTTTCAGCTCACACCCATGTGTGTATACATCTTTTCTTACAGAAAGCTTCCAAAGACTTCAAAGGGAGCTCTGTCCATACAAGAAAATGAAAGATGGAGAGATTCAAACCCATTAGAAATAAAATTTCTGAAATCCTTAATAAGCCTACTTTTGCTTTATAAATGTAATTTTTCTTCTGCTTCTCTATATCTCTTTTCTCCTTGATAAACTCTGTTTTCTTAGTTTGAGCAAAACAAATGATGACAGATTCACAGTGGTACAAATATTAGTATAGAGTTCTAAGTTCAAAGTTCAAACTGACCTCTTTGAGGCAAAGTATTGCAATATTACAAATAAATAAAGGGTAGTGGGGTATAGACAGTTTAAATAGAGCCAATCAGTTGGAATCTCTTCCACAGGCATAAAATGCAATTTCAAAAAGCCTTTCTACTAAAATACTTTAAAATTTCAAAAGTATGATATGAATACCAACAGCTCTGTCCCACAGAGTGTAAGTCTGTTGAGGTCATGCTGTGGTTTCAAAACTTGTTTTATGAAGGATTCACTTAACTTTCCTCTCAGTTGAGGGTACTGGGAAGCTCAGAACAGGTTCGTAGCTCCAGCACTTCAGAAAAAATATAAACTGTTCTGCCTGTGGTATCCGCTGAGGGTCATGATGACTCTAGGATGCTGGCTTTTTTCTTAACACTAGACAGAATACTTAAAATCATGCAGCAGGGAGCAAAGAGTGGGCCATGGTGGCCTCTATGATTCAATGCATAACTTTCTTTGACTTGCATTTTTCTTATATTTCTCTTACCAACTCCATCTGTCTCAATCGCTCATATGCCCACATTCCCTAAATGGACAATATCATTATTTTGCATATTTTTAAAAGTTAAAATTATTGCCACCCTATGACATTCAGTTGTGGCCATTCTTAAACATTTATATTAGAAAACTTATTTGGAATCTAAGTTGAGGGACTTTACTGGATTTCATAATTTTAGGGTGCACTTTTTTTTAATGCTAGCATTCCTGAAATTAGCCCTACAGGCAACAGGACTTCAACAGTAGCACTCAGCCAGACAGTAGCAGTGACATAGTTGTCCTTACCTGTGCATGGGTGCTTGGCCATAGCTGTTCATTGTCATCACGTCAAGAGAGTCATGTGCATTATATGCACCACATGTGCTGAGTTTAAGTGCTCCTGACAATGTCTTCAAAAAGATTACAGCATGATTTGGCACTGAAATGAATACTTATTGTTGTGTTCCCATAAAGGCCCAGAAACTGAGCAGCAAGGCACAAATTTGATACTAGTGAAGCAAATGTTAGTCATTGGAGGAATGGATGTAATTCCATGTTTTCTTGCAATGCAACAATTGAGTGCTTTTCAGGAGCAAAATAAAAGATGACAAGGAGATGAAGCTGTGTTACATTCTGTTACTGAGACACATGCAAAAAAATTTTCCACATCACCCAGCAAACAATGCAATTGAAGGGAACATAAATTGCCTTCCCTCTCTGAATAGATGAAAGAAATTTCAAAGCACTAAGACTTATATGACTGATTCATATGCTGTTCAGGACTCTCATTTAGACATTGTGTTACAATTTAATTGGCTGAATTTTTCTTAATAGTACATAAAATAAAGCTACATCTTATAATTGATGGCAACTTAGATTTGACGAATTAGGTGGTTAATTCACTTGTTTCCAATTAAATAATAGCCCCCAAACAAGTAGCTCATGTGATTATTAAAATACGATTGCTGGGCCGGGCGCGGTGGCTCACGCCTGTAATCCCAGCACTTTGGGAGGCCGAGGCGGGTGGATCACGAGGTCAACAGATCGAGACCATCCTGGTCAACATGTTGAAACCCCGTCTCTACTAAAACTACAAAAAATGAGCTGGGCATGGTGGCGTGTGCCTGTAATCCCAGCTACTCAGGAGGCTGAGGCAGGAGAATTGCCTGAACCCAGGAGGCGGAGGTTGCGGTGAGACGAGATCGTGCCATTGCACTCCAGCCTGGATAACAAAAGCGAAACTCTGTCAAAAAAAAAAAAAAAAAATACGATTGTCTTTATGCAATACAGAAACATCAACAAGGGAGATCCACTGTTGGCTTTTCAGAGACACTGAAATTCATTAATCCCTAATATAAGGCACATTAGCGCACGAACCAAGATAACCTCAAATGGCTCCATGCCTCTCCTTTGCCACCTTAAGTAATGTCAAGTATTCAGAAATGTCCTCTGGGTTTCTGCAACATTCTACTCGAATCCTATCTGGTATGTGTCAGCTAGCTGGCACCCCAGGTTTCATTCTCAACACAGGGTCAGCCATAAACTGGAGAAATGACTTCTCTGGGAGTAAGCACGCAAGGAAAGGCAGGAATAAACTAAATCCGTGGCAGAAAAATGGTTTATAGAACCAATTGCCTGACTTGCACTGTTGTACAAGCAATAATTAGCACTACCTAACAGATGCAGCTCTTTAACAAGCTAAAAACATCCAGTTACCTAATCATTCTCAAGCTCTATATCCCCATGAAAGAACTACTTCTACTGGAATAAAATGAGGGCATGAGCTGAAAGGTTTGGGAAACATATTCAAACATAATGGAAGGCATTCTTCCTATTAAATGGTATCCTTCTGAAATGATGGCATTTTCATATAGTTATTAGAGAAGAAAAATTATCTTCCATGTATTAAACTTAAAACTACATTAAGAGGAAAAACAAACAAACCAACCCTTACTTCCTCTACATTCTCTCAGAACACTTGTAATGCCAAATGTGTGAGTTTTTTCCCACACTGACCCATGCTCTGCCACCAGCAGGGTGTCTGTCCTACGATTCAATTCCATGCTGACACTGTCTACCTGGGCTCAGTCCCACAAGGCTGCTTCCTGTACCCCTACTTCAAAGGCCAATCACAAGTCCATGTTGCCACCTGTGCTTCTGACCGACTGTCAACTGGAGGTTCCCATGACCCCTGCTTAGGTTTGACAATTTGATAGAACAGTTTGCTTATTGGATTACTGGCCATTATAAAAGGGTCAGACTCAGGAACAGCTGGCTACACAGGGCATGGCAGGGGGAGTAGC